TCTTTTTGGTACTTTATATTCTGTACCTCTGAATATCCTAAATCACTCGTACGCACAATTTAAGAACAAATCTGTGCGTACGAACGGTTCTTGCATGAGGCCCAATAATTGGGAAAGTAAAAGTACACACTAAGAAATTAAATGTTGAATTTGCTTAACCAAAATGGTTCCACTACACCGAGATGAGTAAATGGCATTAAATTAAAAATTAAAATTATTTGACCAATTTACACATTTTCCTTTAAAGAATAGGTTTAAATTGCTTTACATTTACTCAGCTCAATTTAGTGRATCCAGTTTACAAAACTCGATTAAATAAATTCAACACTACATGTTTAGAGTGCATTAACCACACTGTTTGGTCATAAGTTGTAACTTATAACTAGGTGTTAAATTTTAAAGTATAAGTATTTTTATGTTTTGAACATAACAAAATAAAAGTGCAAGTTAAAACAAAAAAAAAAACTCATAAAATTACAAATCCTCCAAAAAACTTAAGCACAGCACTGTAACAAAGTAAATGTACTTAGTTACACCTCTTACATTTTTACAATTGTGCAGCTGGTACTGAATACATTTTGAGGAGTTATTTTTTTCTGTGTAAATTTCAAAATAAACTCATCCTGTGTAAATGCTAATTTTCAGCTCATTTTCATCGTTCTTATTTGTCTCATAAAAACAATTTTAAGTAGAACAAATGTGCTAAAAACTCATTTGCCAGAGTGAATAGTAATCCTGGCATCTGCTTCAGTGCAGTACTCTTGCTGTTATGAAATATATATATATGTGTGTGTGCGTGTGTGTCTTTCAGAAATGGCCGAGCGCCACAACATCAAACAGACTCTGACCCTGGCCAGAGACCTGGTGTGCAAGGTGCAGATGCTGATCGAGAACAAGTGATCTGTGTCCTCTCATCCTTCCATGTCAAATGTAACTGGCTGTAGTAGCACAAGAGTAAAGTACACACGCATCAACACACTCCCACTACACAAAGCCTTTTACAGTCCCAGTTTGCTGCTATGAGCCTTACTGCCTGCGTCCTCTGTGGTGTCTRCTGTGTCCGCGAGAGGAGAAAAATCCGAGCGCACTTAATATTTGAAGAAGTTCTGGTTGCACAATTCAAGCCAAAACCCACTGAATTCAAACAGAGGCTATATTTATTAGAAAGATAGATTATTTTAATATCCTACTAGTTAAAAAAGTTATTTATCTTCCTCTACCTGCCCCCTGATGACTGAAAGGGGGGGGGGGGGGGGTGAATACGTCACCAGATTTTTTTTAAAATGTTCTTCAACATCATAGGAATCAAATTCAGTTTCCCACAGGCTGAATATAAAACCCACACTCCAAGTACTTTTAACACTCCAAATWTGGAATAATTAATTGTGTTTTTATTGATTTAACAACCAACAGTGTTCATGAACTGCTTTGTCTGCCAAAAAGTACGGTATGTCTCCTATATAAATTGTTGTGTCCTCAGAGGAAAAAGTGTTCAGATTATGTTGTATATTTATAACCCTAATCCTGTCTGGGCTGTAATTCTACAAAAAAATAAAATTTAACTAAATAAAAAAAAAATAATTTAAAGAAGCTTAATTTCATAATGTTTGCAAGATGTTTTGCATCATGAAGTGAACTTCTGTATGATTTGTAATTAGTGCTGCTTACTCACCTTTGACTTTGTCTCGTATTGTCTGGTGCCTGCTTGTTAAACTAATACACAACGGTTAGTGGTGTCCCTATACCAGCCTAAAACACTTGTACTTATAAGAAACACCCTGATACTAAGGACCGATACCAGTTTTATGCTTGGTCACATCATTATCTCTTCCACTTTGCAAGTAACTGATTGCAAAAAAATGAAAAAAGTTTGTAATTTGGAGACATGTGAAGATAAACACAGGTGATGTTTGCTATGTTCTTAGTAAAAGATGTGTTTTTGAAATTGTTGTGTAATGTTAAAGTACTTACTTATTAACTACTTGGTATTGGTACTCAGTAGCAAACTGAAGTACTTGTACTGGTTTTGGAAGAAAAAAAAAACAAGAAGCTAGTATTGGGACACTCCTAAGAAAGATCAATCAGAACCGTCCAGATGAGGCAGCAGACCGTGATGTGGTTCCATTTTACTCAAATCATTCTGTATAAGAGCGCTTCAGTTAACAGTTTAAACAAAGAGCTGCAGTTCGGCACAGTTTGAGCACGATCTGCAAACGTTCTCTTGTTAAAGGAAAAGTTTTAATGTTTTTGTCAAACAAGGCTGCACACTTTGATCTCAGTTCCTCGTTCTCGTCATTCAGAGCCTGAAACTTCAGTGAGTCGTTCTTCAAGTGTCGTTCGATGAATGTAGTAAGTTTGATCACATTTATTCAAAGTGTTTTTGTTTGTGAATGCYACCTGCTGTCAGATAACCCATTTTGAATTTACTCTTAACATTTTTATGCCAAAGTATTTATTGTTTGATTTCCTCTTTTGGGTTCTGTTTTCATTGTAGAGCTGATTTTTTATTATTATTATTTTGTGGCCAGTTCTACATGTGTATTGTAAAACAATCAGTTCATATACATATATATATATATAATATATATTAAATGGTGTATGTTCTTATAATAAAATAAATAAAATTGGAATCATTATTTTTCCAAAACCTTGTTGTATTGTGTGTTTTGCTAAATGAATTTAAAGGTGTGCATTGCAAAGTTCAAATCAACACAATACTGGTCTCATATTGATGGCTAAAGTGTCCTTAAATGTAAAATCTATAACCAAAATTTGTAACCAGATGCCAGCTCTATTTGTTTACTGATACGGAAAGAGCCAAAGTGACTGAAAATATGTTAAATGTTCAACTTGCTGATGGTATTTGTTTGCCTAATGTATAATCATTAAACAAAGCACATCTGAAGCTTGTTGAGTCACATTATACTATAATGTGACTCAAGCTTCAGATGTGCTTTGTTTGCGTTGAATGTGGACCCACATAATGAATGAATGAATAAATGAATGAATGAATGAATGAATGAATGAATGAATGAATGAATGAATGAATGAATGAATGAATGAATGATACTTTATTGATCCCAAAGAGAAATTATAGTTGGAACAACCCATTCAAAATGTAGACAAAACACAACAGACTTGTAGAACAAGTGCTCCGGGCCCTGCTGCTGCACAGAACAAGAATCATCATCATGAAAAAACATCATGAGAAATAACAAGAGGACAAAAAAGAACCTCATACTGTATCCTCTTTTCAGGACATAATATGAGGTACAAAAACCCCTGCAAAGAGCAAGAAATATTGGTGGGGGGAGTAAGGGATGGGGTGGGGGTAATGGGAATAGGAGAGAGAAACACAGGGAATGCAGCAAAGGCAGTGAGTTAAAGGTACATGTATCTGAAGCCGTAAAGTGTTGTGTGCACATGCGTGAACATCTGTAAAATGAAATCGTGTGTAAATCAGTCCCTCCGAACAGCCCCGTCCAGCCATAGTCTCAGAATAATGATGTTGTTGTGTGTCCATCTGTGTGACCTTCGGCTTGCTTCCAGTCAACCAGTTCAAACAKTGGCAGGAGGGAAAGGTGGGCGGAGCATCAGTATCCAAAACATCCATGGAGAGATACCAGACTTCAAGGCCATGCGGKGGGTGCTGCTGTAACAACGATCACAACTGTTATGGGAAAAGGCTGACAGAAGATTTGCTTGTGGCCTTCACGTCTCACCAGAACCTCTCAAGGGCGAAAACTTCAAACAGCTGAATTTGTTGGTCACATCTCACCTCATACCAGTCACAACTTCTCCAGGATCTTTTTGAGTTAGATTAAATAACTCTGGAAAACTACACGAGTAAACTCTTTCAAATGGCACCATTTGCTGTAGTTCTAGTTTGCAGTGAGTACCATTAATTAAAAATGCATCGTAAATGTGGACAAATGATAAAAAAAACAACATTTAGAACAATTAAATCACAGTAAGCCTATATTTTTGTTTATCCTATGGTCTTAGCAAATATRTAATTGATGCTTTGCATTGACACATCTACTTTCATAAACTTGACATTTCAGATTTTAAAATAAACGTCCTTTATTGCTCAATTTTATGCTTTTTTTCTTCTAATAGTAAAATATGATTTTAAGAAACTGGAGGAAACAGACATGTCATGAGTCACTTCAATAACTTTAGTTGTTTCTTTTTAATTTGCATCGAACTAAAATATTAAATTATTTGCATACTAATCATTACATGCAAAAGAAAAAATTGGGTGGCAGATGTATATGAAGTTCTCATATACACTGCCTCTGTCAGTGTGCCCCAGGGCAGCTGTGGCTACAATGTAGCTTACTGCCATCAGTGTGTGAATGTGTGTGTACATGGTGAATGTCTGAGGTCTAAAGCACCTTGGGGTCCAAGTGGACTTGATAAGACGCTATACGTATATGTTCAAGCCATTTATTTACCGCCAGAGTTGTAAAGTAACTAAGTACAAATACTTTGTTACTGTACTTTAGAATTTTTGGGTATCTGTACTTTACTTGAGTAATTATTTTTCAGCCTACTTTTTACTTCTACTTCTTACATTTTCACACAATTATCTGTACKTTCTACTCCTTACATTTTTTTTAAAAAAGTCAAGAAGTAGAAAGTTGTTACTTTTGTTTTTGCTTGTTTTCATTGCAGCTTGTTGTTGTAAAAAATAAAATCTATCCATGTAAATTGAGCCTCCTAGATGGAGTGAATTTAACTGTGGTTGAATGAGAAGAATAAATATATAAAATTCTGATACCGTATTAGTTTGTACACAAACAAATSATGTCACACTCCAGCAGGACATAATCATTAAAATAAAAGGACTGTACTTAAGAAGTTTTTTGTATTTACTKAATTATATTATTACATTTGGCCGCAGCCCTCAGGTAGATTTTCATTTTGGGGAAAAGGTTTGGTCAGCCTTGATATATGTATATAAACTGAAACAGCTAGACTAGTGCATCCTGAATTTAACATAAAATATTTTAATACAACAGTCATTTCTGCATTTTTTTAGGGAGGTCACCTCCTAATAAATGTCATTACAGAAAATCTAACTGCTCATTTTAAATCAATACTTTTACTTTTAATAGTACAAAAAAATCAGATACTTTCAGATACTTTAATACTTTTACTCAAGTAATATTCCTAAAGGAAACTTTAACTTTTACCAAAGTAATTGGTAAGATACTTGAACTTTTACTCAAGTTTCACTTTGTGGCACTTTATACAACGCTGTTTACCAGTGAAGTTCACCAATTCTCAAAAATTATTTTTCAACGGAAACAAAGAAAGAGACAAATAAAAATAGGTATTTAAAAAAAGAATGTACATGAAAACAGGGACTTGAACCCTCACTTGGACTGTCAGATTAAAGTCTGATGCTCTGAGAAGGAGACAAAAGAAAAACATAGACCCGAAACGGGACTTGAACCCTSGACCCTCAGATTAAGGTCTGACGCTCTACCGAAGGAAAGAGACAAATAAAAGTAGAAATAAAAGAAAAGGGTACGGCTGAACCGGGACTTAAATAATGGACCCAAGACTAAAAGGCTGGTGCTCTATCGAAAATAAAAAGCAGAGAAGCAAAGGAGAAACTAACGCCCGAACAGGGACTTGAACCCTGGACCCTCAGATTAAAAGTCTGATGCTCTACCGACTGAGCTATCCGGGCGCTCTTGAAGGAAMAAGCACCGTAATCCGTTTTGATAAAATAAAAATAAACAGTTACATTGCATCCTGTTGTGAATATATGCGTGGGAGGGCTAACCCTGTGGCTTGGATTAATCGAATTTTCCTGTTTAACCTGATTTAGGATAATTTACTTGTGTTTCACGAATTATATATGTTATGTGTGTTAATTTGTTTTCTGCTATAAAAGACTATTAATTTTACAGTAAATCAACTGTACGAATTTTCAAAATCATTTAAGATCTATATTCATAAAGGTGCAGTATCTAACAAAAACCAATCATTTTATAACAAAATTATCTGTCGTGAACCCGGAAGTGATTGCCTTCCTCCTGCTGCTAAGTTCGTGTGGAGTTAGTAGCTTAGCTTGGATCAGAGCTAACCTTTTTGGTAGAAAAGATTATTAAAATGAGTTTTATMTTTCATGTCGGACAGAGGTAGCTGAGTGAATTTGTCCACGATGTCGTCGTTCCGCCTCATAGTTTCACTGAAAGTCTTTCAGCCTCCATGTAAGCTGTCAACGAAGGGTTTCTGCTCAGGAAGATACGGAAGAGCCATTAGCTGCCTGAATTTAACCCGACATTTCAGCTCCGAGTCGCATAACACTAAGGTTAGACAAAAACGTGTTTCAGTAAATCAGCAATAAGAACTAATAAACTGTTTGTTTGTTTGTTTGTTTGTTTGTTTGTTTGTTTGTTTGTTTGTTTGTTTGTTTGTTTGTTTGTTTGTTTGTTTTACCTCACCTGTGTATGTTTTCTACAGGTGCCAAAGGCTCCAACGTGGAAACCAGTACAAGAGGAGCAGCTTCCTCCGGTAAAATCCTCATCATAGCTCCATGTTTATAAACACAGAACAGGATTTCAGTAATACACGGTATACAGGTTTTTAATCTTCTTCGAAGCTTCAGTTATCCAAAACTTTATATCCTAATTATGTCCTAATCAGGCCATACACTAAATATGATGCTGCAACACAATCATGTGAAATAATGAAAGGCCTAATTACTTAGCAGAAATGATTTGAACACTGTCCACATTTTCTTTGACAAGTACAAGACATTTCTGGTCATTTTCATCATCAGTGATGGTGGAGAGAAGCTTTCATGCATGTTTCTAAAAAATGCAGTGTTGTTTCACAGCCTGCCGTAGTCCCCGCTGATCTGGTCGACAAGCTGGAGCGACTGGCTTTGGTGGATTTCCGCACCAAACAAGGCCTGACCTGTCTGGAAAAGGCCATCCGGTTTGCAGACCAGCTTCACCTTGTCGACACGGCAGGAGTKGAACCGATGGATTCGGTTCTGGAGGACAGGTAGTTCTGAACGACGGATTAAATTGCCGTTATAAACCAAAAAGGCTTTTTGATGTTACGTTTCCTCACGTGGTTGTGCTTTATCCACACAGAGCTTTGTATCTAAGGAATGACACGGTCACGGAGGGCGACCATGTCGAGGAGCTGCTTAAACTCGCAAAACACAGGGTCGAAGAATATTTTGTTGCACCACCAGGTATAACAGAAACCTYGTTATGTTTCTTTCCACACATGAAATTACGGAGCCCGCGAGGAGACATGGGGGGATTTTTTTTTCTTTTGCGTTCCCTTGCAATACTTTTGCGTTACCTCACAATGCTTTTGCATTACTTCGCAAATTGTTTTGTGTTCCCACGCAAAAAAAAAGAATTGTTTTGTATATGAACTGAATTAAATCAGACTTTTATTTTGAAATATCCAGTTACCAAAACAAGATGTCTCTTCACAAGTTTGTGAAATTGACATTGACGTTGCGTGGCTGCACTGTGTTAAAATATCGACATATGACATACGACCATGCGTGGCTGTGTGACATATTCATTCTGAAGCTGAATTAAAACAGTAGGCTAACTCGCTAATGGTGAGCAGGTGAATTTGTTAATAAACCGGCAGGCACAACAGTGTTAAACAACATTTGTGAGGGAACGCAAAAAAACAAACAAAAAAAAAAAACTCATGACCCCTTGCGGGCTCCGTATAAAATAATCATTTATAAAAATAAATAAATAAATAAAAACTACCCTTTTCTCATGTTTTGTTCATAGCTACAGAGTCATTACCGGCACTCCTTTTGTTCTTGTTCCACAGGAAATATTCCTCTACCTGAAAGGGAGGAGAGGACTGCCATGCTGAAACACTCCGAGTTCTGATGGGTTCATTTGGATTAATTTTTTTTGATTTGTTGCAAGTGTTTTGTTTTTAATTGGGATATGTGTGTCTGTCATGAACTACAGTATGGGTCAAATGTGCTGAGCTCATAATTTACACGTTCAAATTGGTCATTTCAGTTTGAGAAACGTCAGATGTGTGTGTGGCAGGTTTCACACCCACCAGCTTTTACACAGCTTCAGACAAACCTGTATAGGTTTCAGTTTCAGTTCTTATAGTAAAAGGTGAATAAGCTGTGTTTGGAGGAATTGTTTTACTGCACATCACAGTTTAGACCTACATTATTTCAATCTGGCTTTTCTTTCATGTAAATTAAGTTTTACTTAATCAGAATAACCAACAGAAACTTTATTCTGGAGGGTGACTGATACATCGGCCGGCCAATATTTGTGTTGTTTTATTTTGTTCTATTTTATTTTATTTTTTGTGTTTGCATCAGCTGATGCATGCATTCGCCGATAAAATAAAGACAGTCTTACCTTCAAAATTGTTTGTTTTTATTGTTATATATCTAAATGTTCTACCTTGTTTGCTATCCATTTTTAATGTTTTATTTTGTTAATTTTTTTAATTTTTGTTTAAATTAAGACGTGTGTAGCATTATTTATCGTCATTTTAACATGTAAATAGAGGAAGAAAAATCAGTGTCGGCTTTAAGAATCAGCCTTTTAAAAAAACTAATTGATCTCCACTTTATGCTAACGGATTTGTAGCGAACCAACACTGTAATTCGTCCACTTCAAAGCCACACCTGGATGCAGTGATTTAGCAACGTCTTGCTGAAATAACTGGTTGCTTTCTTTGAATAAAATGATCAAATGACAGCTTTTGTTCTAAAAGTTCCAGATGTGTAAGCTGCCCATACCATWAGCATTACCATACTATTAGAGAAGCAGCTGGATGGTCCCTCACCTTGTGGTGTAGAGCAGTGGTTCCCAAACTTTTTATCTTCTGACCCACAAAATATCCAKGGCAAAAACTTGTGACCCCAAATATTACTGGTCTGAGTACAYAAACTTTGTTAATAACCCTAAAAACACAGGCTTTTTGACAATCTAAACAGCTTGTACACAAATATAAATACTTAATTTTACTTATTTTGTGTTTTTGTAATARTTATAGGGAAAMTATTACATCAGCAATTATTTTATTACCCTTTAAATTGATTTCTGGAGATGATCCAAGGTGCTTCATGACCCATAATTGGGTCCCAAGCCCAACTTTGGGAACCAAAGTGCAGTGGTTCCCAAACTTTTCAGCTTTTGACCCACAAAATAACAGTAGCAGAGACCTGTGCCCACAACTATTTTTGGATGATAAACATTTGTATCAGGTCAACAAAACATGGGCATAATAACAATATTTATCTGTTTAAAATTTACTAACCTCACTCCTTTGTAACAAYTAAGGCAAAAATGTAATTAATTCAGAAAGTCTATTCAGGACCCCATCTTGATGTTTCGGGACCCCACTTTGGGTCCCAACCCCAACTTTGGGAACCAAAGGTGTAGAGGACATGACATCTGTGGTTTTCAAAAGAAAATCCAAATTGTCTGACCACAGAAGAGCCTGCAGCCATCAAATTCAGAACCACTAAACGGATTGAAATATGCACAATATCTTAGTTTAAACCTTTCATATGTTTACACACGTTTATGAGGTTTATGTCTTATATTTGAGGATGTTTTAGTTTTATTGATATAAAAGTATGAATAAAAATCTAATTAAAAAATGACTGGAATATTTTTTATTTATGCCAGACAGCCTAAATAATTGTTTTTCTTAGATCTTTCTGCTGTGAAGTCATGAACGTCTCCTTTTCGTTTCGTTTTGTTTTGTTTCGGTGTGAGCTGCTCTGATGGCCTGATGAATCATCAGCACCTGACTGACGTCATGATCTGACCTCCAGCTGTCAGGAACATCAGCTGTTCCTCCCTCTCACCTGCTTGTGCAGGTTGATTTGTTTTAAAACAAAACACCTTGTGAAGGAAAACCCCTCAACACAAACAGCAGGTCATGTTAGGAGAATGGAAACCGAAAGTGTTTGAGGCTGATCTGGAAAACGAATCTTACCGAGGAGGCGGGGCTGAGTCCAGTCTATAAAACCAGCCGGAGCTTATCTCTCTGAGCAGGTTTAACTTTCCATCACTGAGAACTGAAGGATTATCCATTTCTAAAAGATCAAAACAACAAGGTAGGCTTTTCAGAATAAGATCACTTATTTTACCAAACTTTTTTGGTTTGTTTAAAACTAAATACTTTTTTTTTCAGACTTCCATCATGGAGATCATCATCACCAAGCTGGACGGAACGTCCTGCACTCTGAATGTAAGCCCCCATGACACCGTGGGCTCTTTGAAGATCCGCATCCAGGACAAACTGGGGGAGTCCGCCGAGACCCAGARGCTGGTTTTTGATAACGGCCGCAGGACCCCTTTGGAGGACGACTCCAGGACCCTGAGCTCCTACAACCTGCAGTCCGGGTCCCGGGTGTCCCTGCTGGTCACCCGGCCCTCCACCATCCAGGTGTTCCTCCGAAACGAGAAGGGACAGACGACCTTCCACATCAAACCCGACGAGACCGTGCGGGACTTCCGGAGGAAGGTGCAGGAGACTGAGGGGGTCCAAGACAGTCAGCAGAGGCTGATCCACGAGGGCCGGGAGATGATGGAGGGGAAACTGATGGACTATAATGTGAAGGATATGAGCACGATCTACCTGACTCTGCGCCTGAGAGGAGGCTGAGGACTGWTAATGTTCCAATTTAGTCTTAATAATCGAAGCATTCCACGTTTGTATTGTTTTATCACAAAAAAGTTTATTCTAACAAATAACTATATTGAAGAAAACCTAATAAAAGTATTAAAAAAATTTGTTTTTATTCAGCCCAGCAGGTGGCGCTCAAGAGACACAACAGATAACTTTACATCATATTTACCTGCTTGTTAGCAAAATATATCATTAACCAAAGGATTATATTGAAACTTGCAGAATACAATCAATACACGTACATCTACAATCGATTAACATTTGGAGTCAACCCAAYTAAAAATGGTCGCCACAGTCCACTCATTAAAAATGGCTGTAATGCAGTAATTTCCTCAAACATCGTGCTGAAAATTGATATAAACTAGCTGAGAGCCTTTCACAACAAATGATATTCATTACATACATTTGCTTTAAAACTTAAGCATTAATGCTTGGAGTTCACCCTGTTTGTTAGCAAAATTTCTTGTGAACAACAGGACAGGTTTTAATGAAATTTTCAGGATATCATCRTTGCATGTACATTAMAACTGATTAACTTTCAGAGTCAGTCCAATTCTAGATGGCTGCCACTGAGAATCAACASTAGCCACCACAAAAAGTGGCTATAACTCAGTTTATTTTACAGATATTTTACTAAAATTTGACGTTTGTAGCTCTGAGCCAATAAATCAGCTACATTATCTCTCAACATGAGATGATTATAATCTCTCATAAAGTCTTGCATAAAAGGCGGTGGGTGAATGCCCTCAATTTTGTTTTAGTTTGACTATACAGGCGTTTGGCAGTGGAATGTTAAAAAAGAAAACTTTAATCCTGTTCTTTTCACACAACATAATGGCTGCAGTCACATACCCWGAGTTTTAGAGCAGTCTCTTAAAGTGGCTTAAACCTGATGTTAATCTGAAGAATAACAACACAACAAAAACCCTTGAGCACGTTAGGAAGTTAGATTCTGTCAGTCCTCGGTTGCAGCAATCTGCGAAGAAACTTCAGGGGGCATCATTTCCTCACAGATGCCAGGTAGGCGTACCAAAACAGGGCGATCACGTTGGCAAACAGCACTCGAAACTAAAACACACACACACACACACACACAAAGATGAATTAGGTTTTAGATTCAATGGGCCTCATGCAAGAACCGTTCGTACGCACAGATTTGTTCTTAAATTGTGCGTA